ACGCGCCGGGAGGCCAACGGGTGTGTGGGTGAGTCCCCGCTCCGGGGGAGCGCTCGGTGCAGGCACCGCTGGGGGCGCGGACGTGGGGCAGGGGCACCCAGGCACACGGGGGTGCAGGGCAGGGCGAGGGCACTGAGGTGCTCAGAAGTACGGAGTAAGGGAGGGGACCCCAAAGGACCCAGAAGCGCACGGCAGGGGATGTTAAAGAATACGGAGCTCAGGGCGGGGGAGGGGGGGCATCCAGGGACACGGACGCTGAGGTACCCAGAAGTGTACGGCAAGGGAGGGGACACCAAGAGACCCAGAAGCACAGAGCAGGGAGTATCAAAGGACTGGGAAGCGCAGAGTAAGGGACATCAAGTCACCTAGGAGTGCAAGGCAGGGGACATCGAGGCACCCAAGAGTGCACTGGTGAGGACACCAAGGGACCCTGAGGTGCAGCAGGGGACACTGAAGGGCAAGGCAGGGGACATCGAAGCACAGGAGCTCAGGGCAGGGGCCATCGGGGGACTCGGAAAGTTAGGGTAGCGGACACCGAGGCGCAGGAGTTCAGGGCAGGGGATGCTGAGAGATCCGAAAGCATAAGACAGAGGACGCCGAAGGACCCAGGAGTGCAAGGCAGGGAATACCGAGGGACTCGGGCGTACAGGGCAGGAGACACCGACGCAGTCGGGAGCGCAGAGTCGAGGACACCAAGGGACATCAGAGTGCAGAGCAGGGGATACCGAGGGACCGGGGGGCGCAGGGTCGACCACATCGAGGGGCTCTGGAGCGCGGAGCAGACAACACGGAGCAACTCGAAAGCGCAGGGCAGGGGACACCAAGGGACGCCGAAGTGCAGGGAGACACCGAGAGACTTGCGAGCTCAGGACAGGGAAGGGGGGCACCAAAGGGGCCGGGAAGGCAGATTTGTGCGAAGACGCCCAAACGCCTAGACAAGCGCTGAAGACCCCTGGCTCGCTGGGAAGGGTGTCCCTGTCCGGCTGGGAGAGCGGGAGGGTCCCAGGAACGCATCGAAGTGGGGGGTCCTGTCCGGAGAGCCCGCAGGAGCCCTGCTCCCTTCCCCAGGACACCGGCACGGCAGCAAAGCCCTCCAGTTCACACTCCGGGATCAGTGTAGTTGGACGGGTGGGCAGGCTGTGATCCGTCTTGGAGGGAGAAAGCCGCCGACCGCTGGGGAGGGCGGAGGGCGGGATGCTCAGCAAAGCTTGCGGTTCGTGTCGCTGGACGTGCAGCGCCTTTGGAGCC